CACACACACACACACACACACCAACCATCACGTGCAAACACACACACTTACAAGCACACACATACTTTCAAGTAGGCTAGGGATGACAGGATGGGGCCATAAATCACGAACCAACATCGATAACACGAAGATCAGAATTCACCATCAAGAAAAAAAAGATATCATGATGTAGGATAGGGGTCAGTGCAGAACGCCTGCCCTCATAACCACACGTGACAGTTTTCCGTCAGGAAAAAGGGGAATACCAAACCATATCTGTTTTTGTGCTATGACGATTTCCGTGAAATTACAAGAACCTACGCGAGCGGCAGGATGGGGCGAGCGGCAGGATCGGGCGGGTGGGGGAAGGGGGATTTGGGGCTCGTAGTGGTTTAATGGGCTTCCAAGTAGCTTTGGGGACTCGTAGGGGGGGTCAATTATCTTGTTTTTTTTCCTGGTTTTAGTGTTTGGGCACTTAGGGCCAAGTATCTGAGGCCTAACGCCCCCAATCCGTTTTTCCAAATTCAACGAAACACCCACGTTTTTTTGTTAAACGGGATTCAATGATGGCTCCGGGGTCTATTCAACGGATACGACGACGTTTAATTTTATTTGTTGCCTGTTGTTAGGACACACAATTTATGACCGCACGGGAGATTCCAATTGAATCCTCGAACTTCATACTTAATTTTTTGAAAATCCTTAGTACACCTCTATTGGCACTTTCCAAGTTTTTTTTTGCATTTTAGTCACACTAACTGAACAATAGTGTAAGGCGCGAGGAAGGAAGCAACAATTTGTACCGCAATCGCAGTCGTCAGCATCACTCACACCATGATCGTCCAATACAAGACACCATGCGAGAGCAAGTACCTGTAAGCGTTATCCAAATTATGAATGAAACACGTTAACAGTGGTGGTTAACTGTGTATCCGTGAAGAGCTGATAATGACAATGTGACAGGTACCCCCAATCCGAGCGACAATGTCGCCACCTCCAGCGTTCCTACATACAAACACCGCTATTCCCATCACGTTCCCGTCCAGTCGGACGAAAGGACATTCTACTTTTGCTTCTGCGTCCATATACTGTCCGATACACCTAGTTCGTCAATCTCCACGCTCGTTACCACCGCCCTTTCACAACCATAGCCAGGTCCCATTATTCCTAAACAACATATTCCAAACCATCCTACGAATTCTAGAAACATCCTACAACTTCAAACCAACGAGGTACCGGTTCGAAACCTCACTCACTCATCGTCCAAGTACCTTTTTCAACTCGCTCGACTCGGGTTCGAGACTGGTCTTGACCAACCTCCCAAATTCATGTTCGAGCTAGATTGTGTTGAGCGTTCCACCGGCCACGATGTCACAGTCCAAGTCGGGTCTCCCCGCCTACTGTAAACACTGTAATCAAAGCTAAACTCGAAAATAAGCCAAAAAAGCGCCATACGAGGCCTATCCTATACATTTAAAAAATCCGGTAACTGTTCGAAACCTCACCCCCTACATCCAAGTATAAGGTGTTCCCTGGTCCCTATATACATGATAGTGGAATGCCGCCACTTCTATTCAATCAATATGTAAAAGTTGTATACTAACATCACATACGACCTTACCATATCTCTAATCCTCTAAATGTATGCTGCAGACTATCAAGTGCGAGAGTTACTTTAACATTATTTCAGTCACGCTCCGAACATCAGTCACTATTCGCTTCACCGTCGGATTGCAGCCTACCGTTATATTTCAACGGATCAGGCGACTGTCAGTCATTAGTACGGCTAGCATCTTCCACATGGGATTCTTGTCCCTGCGGAAAGTTCTCAAGGCTCGTCTGAACTACTGCTCGGGGTAATTTCCCCTTCGCATCTCCATCTGCATCAAAACCAAGGTGTCGACAATCTCCATGCAGGCAGTCGAGTTTTGGTCGATGCGATGAAGAGCACTCACAATCACGACCATCTTTGCACGCTTGCACGTCCAGGAATCAAAGTCCTGAAAAGTTCGAAATGGGAGATCATCACCCCCCTTCGCCCTCATCCGTTCTCTTCAAGGTAAGGGCTTCGTCATAGCATTTTTCAAACTTCGAAATAATATACATCGCCAACACTTTCGATCCCTTACGGGACGAACTGAAGGCAACGAATATCGAAGCGTCATCGACAAATTACAATCCATCCACGAGCTTCCTTTGGCTCCCCAATGACACAAGGAAATCACACTCACTTTTCGCACACATCAAACATGCCAATGGGGGGCTAGAGCTCTTCCCCATTGGAATTCCAATCACTTGCCTCATTAGGATCCCACAGACGTTCGTGTAGCAGAATTCCAGTTCGAAGTTGACGTTCGTGTAGCAGAATTCCAGTTCGAAGTTGACGAAATCCATGATATACTCGAAACTCGTCATCGTGAAACCCTCCTGCTCATAACTCTTATTGAGCTTCGCTCCCCTCCCTCTCTTCGTCACGAAAACACCTCGATAACCTTTCTCTCTAAACCACCAAACCACCCACTCCACCGCACGCCGGATGGTAGGATGTGGGAGTTTATTAAACATATCCTTAATGTCATACGAAGCTCCCACAACCTCCACATCCTTACAACTTCTAGCCAGCCTCTGATTAATGCGCGACATCCTCAGTTTCATTTGTGCTACCGACTTCAAATTGAAATTACTCGACTCGGGTAATGAGTACAACATGCAATTCACAGCCTGAGCGACTCTCTTTCACGCTCTCACCGAGGGTTCGCCATATGTTGGACATATTGGCCAGAACCTCGTCGTGTCCTTATGCTTGGGTAAAGCATATAGGCACTCCCAATCCTTTCACCAGCATCCCACTTACCATGCACTCCCAAATTCTTGCGAACAAACTTAGCATGCGCCGTTGCCAATTCCTCCTCACTACGTTCGCGGAATCGGTAGCCATCGATCTGGAAGAAGGTCTCATCCATGCCTCTTGCATACAAACAAGGACAAAGTACTAACGTCTCACTCGGATTGCGGTCCAGGGGGGCTAGCACTAGGCCTTGTAAGCGCAATTTCACCATCATTACTTCTCCCAAATTCCCAACCTGCTCCTCCGACTTCCTCCCATCAAAACATTTATCCACTTCACTCATGTTGACGATCACTTCGCCACAAGGCTTGCCCAGTTCAATCTCCCATGTCTGAAACGCATTCTCAAACTCACTCTTCAACCTGGCTTCTCTTCGCTCACCTTCGTTCCTTGGCACATTTTTCGCGTTCTTAACAATGGCCAGAACCCGGTCGAGCTCACCGATACGGAAATGCACATGCCCATCCCTCTTGGGGTAGGGCAGTCCAGCACAAGTACAGCTGGATGCACGTAAGGACGAGAATCGTCTATGGTTGAGGATCAGATCTCCCACATTCGGGCACCTTGTCCCCACCATCCATGCACGACGTTTAACCATCTCCCTCATCGGTTTAGCAAGTTGTAGCCCCTCCGTCTTCTTCCTTACCAGTCTCGTAACCTCGCTCTTACGAATTATATCATCAAACTCTATCTTTGCAATTACACTCTTACATACGCTCATTCCACTCACTTCCTTGATTGCCCGTGATAACATAGATCGTGCACGTGATTTGCTTCTCTTGGTAGTGAAAGTTTTTATCGCACTGTAATACTTCAACAACTCTTTCAAATTCTTCTTCAGAAGATCCGTTTGCCGGCATTTATTTTTGAACATCGCAATCATGTGGTTTCTCAATCTCAAGGTTGTCGGTGATGCTTCGGTGATTCTCTTCAAAGTTAGCTCACCCTTCTTATCAAAAAGGCGTTTACATTTCTTCAGTGGTCTTGTCCCTCTGCCTATCTTCACCTTAGTCTCACCAAACAATCTTCGTACAACTCTCCAACCGTCAGACCAAGTGTCGCCACCATCACTCACAACTACCATATCACCTTTCTCCTTATTCTTGATACCTGCCCTTAGAAATTCCACAATCTTGACTGTCTTTCCATTCACCCTCGCCTCGCCGATTGCCACAATCTTTCCCCCAGATTTCCGATCACTCCCCTCTGCAGATCTCATCCCTCCTCTTCTATTCTTACTTCTCTCCTTCTTCCCAAACCTTTTTCTCTTCTTCTTCTCTCCTTTCTTGTTCTTCCCTGACGTCGAATTCAATGATGGAGACCATCGCTTGATCAAGGTCCGTTCCACTGCCGCCAATTCGGACTTTGAGTTACTCGTAAATATCGGAGTAGCCACGTACTTGTGCGCACCCACCTTACTTAGCCAGTTGTACAATCTCCTTCTCCTTTTGCAACCTCCCTTTTTCGCTTGGCAGAAGTGTTCCCTCCACCTTGCCCACAGGTCGCGCTCCGTCATCCCGATATACACTTGCTTGTACCATGGTGATAGGAGAATGTATACACAGCTTTTGGGTTTCTCCAAGCTGAAATTTTCGGTAGCAATTTCCTCATGCCAATAATTCACAATTTTTTCCCCCCACTTAACTTCTCCTGCGATGATCAATCCAATTACCACGGCTCGCATTACACGCTCATCAATTTTTCTCTTCCCATTCTTCTTTAATATGTCTTCACAAGCCTCCTCTGCTCGACTCCACAGCTCACGTACATATCAGTCCTTTTCCTCGTCGTAATCCTCTGACTCACTGTCTTCAGGTGGACTCCCCTCAGTCTCATCCTTAGGCGAACTCGACTTGGACGCCGTGTTATCCTCCTCGGAAGTAGGCAGTGGTACATATGCAGGATCGTAGGCGACTGCAGAGCGACGGATCATAAGTCTCTTAATCGCTAGTTCTCGCTTTCCGTAAGTGATCTTCTCTCCCTGTATACTTCCTTTAGTTCTTCAATCGTGAAGGCGTCATAGAAGTCATGACATTCTCGCTCGAACTTCTCCCTGCCACCCTCTCCACAGGACGTCATGATGTGCTTTAGGGATAAGTCAATTTTGCGAGGTGTGTCCGAGCTCTCAGATTCGGCTTTCTTCGCGCTCCACAATTCTTCGACCTTCTTACGACCTTCCTCCGTCGATCTCGTATTCGTCTTCTTTTCAGGAGTCATCATCGACGGGCTGTTTTCGATAGCCATTTCTGGTCCTCGTTTTCGTTTTTTCTTGATCGCCAACTTGGCGGTCCTCCTTCGTAACAATTTTAATTCCTCGTCGCTGGTCTCGTCATTTTCTGAGTTTTTGTACATCGCCTGAATCCTCCGCAGCCGTTCTTTTTCTTCAGATATGGATGAGCTCTTCTCACTGACCTTCATCTTCCCTTTTAGTTTCGCCTTGCTTCTGCAATAGCTATCCTCATTTTCCTTTTCCATTTCTCCTCTGATGATTCTCAACAGTCTCGCATCTCTTTCTTCTTTCATCCGTAGACGCTCTTCCATCCTTAGCAGTTTCTTTCGTTCCTTCTCAGCACGTCCTCCTCCTTCTTTTTCGCCGCTTCTTCCTCCTTCTCTCTCTTCGCTTTCTTCTCCAAAGCTTTCTGCACCAGACACTCACGCATCAAAGCATTCGTATTCTCCACCTCCCCTCTCCCTGTACCCGCGTCTGCGGACCGACTCCTCCTCATGGTCTCCTCGTTCGACGCCGCAGGTCTTCCTGTCTGAGTTATTGATGGCGCATATGGCGCGGGAACAAAGGGAACTCCACGTGCTCGGGCTTGCCAATACTCAGCGCATTCTCGAATGAAGTGTCCCCCTTCCCCACACTTGTAACATTTCCTTGCATCGCCACTCCTGGAACTCCCTTCTCCCGACCCATGGTGCCCACTATTTCCTTCACTCATCCTTTCTCCAAATCACTATTCCACTCGGGGTCGCTCGCCCCCGTAGGCGACTTAAATTCTCCACAGTTCGCCTCTTGTCCACGCAGATCCGTCAATGTCTTCGAATACTAGTCGCCACCTCTTCTAGGTATCACCTCCTAGCGGGTTACGACCATAAGTGCAGGAAGCAACAATTTGTACAGCAATCGCAGTCGTCAGCATCACTCACACCATGATCATCCAATACAAGACACCATGCGAGAGCAAGTAGCTGTAAGGGTTATCCAAATTATAAATGAAACACGTTAACAGTGGTGGTTAACTGTGTATCCGTGAAGAGCTGATAACGACAACGTGACAGGTACCCCCAATCCGAGCGACAATGTCCCCACCTCCAGCGTTCCTACATACAAACACCGCTATTCCCATCACGTTCCCGTCTAGTCGGACGAAAGGACATTCTACTTTTGCTTGCGCGTCCATATACCTTCCGATACGCCTAGTTCGTCAATCTCCATGCTCGTTACCACCGCCCTTTCACAACCATAGCCAGGTCCCCGTATTCCTAAACAGCATATTCCAAACCATCCTACGAAATCTAGAAATATCCTACGACTTCAAACCAACGAGGTACCGGTTCGAAATCTCACTCACTCATCGTCCAAGTACCTTTTTCAACTCGCTCGACTCGGGTTCGAGACTGGTCTTGACCAACCTCCCAAATTCATGTTCGAGCTAGATTGTGTTGAGCGTTCCACCGGCCACGACGTCACAGTCCAAGTCGGGTTTCCCCGCCTACTATAAACACTGTAATCAAAGCTAAACCATAAAATAAGCCAAAAAAGCGCCATCCGAGGCCCATCCTATACATTCAAAAAATCCGGTAACGGTAAGGCGTGAGGTTGGTATCGCATCTGACATGTGTCGGTTATAGAGCAAGTTACGAGTTGGCGAGATAATAAAGTACATAACTTTCTCCATCGTCCAGCCGAATCCCCCTGTTACCTCGAGTAAGTTGGCAGAAACCCGAACTAGATTAGCGATGACACACAATCAGCGTCCCAGAGGCATGTCAAATGGTGGTTGTGCTTGCTGCTCGTACCTGTCCTTTTTAGCATTGTTGAACACCCCCCAAAACTTGCATTAATATCGTTGAGTATAAGGGTTACTCCTGAGAACGATTGCAAGACACAATAAGACCTTATTATAGGGAGTTGTGCGAAAATGCTTCTAATGTTACTGATAGGCTGATTGGGATTCATTCAAAGTTGCGTTTCTGAAAAGGTGTGACGAAGTCATGGAAGCTGCCATATGGTATATATTGAGAAATCGATCTCAACAAGTAGACCAATTGTTGGCGAAATTCGTTAATTGATTATAGATATCACTAGATAGATCGACGAGGGAGGAAACGGTTATGCATTGTTGGAGCATAAAACTTCATAAGGGTATATGCTCGGGATAATTATTGTTGGACGATGTTCGGCTGTCTACAAAAAAACTTTTAAATAGGTTGATTAAATGAGGTTGAGACGTTTACCAAAAACCTTATTCAGATGAAAACCAGAAACTAATTGTTTTTTTTTTTTTAAATGAAAGTTTGAAAGGTTGGCGGTGTCAAAGTGAGATGTGAAATGATCTGCGGTGTGACCGGTTATATTCCGCTTCAGGCGAGGTCGTAGGGGGCGTGCGATATTTGAAATGCTAAATCTAAACCTGTTTTACCTAGCAGCCGCGCGATTCAAAACCTAAATGGTAAAAGAGAATAGCCACGTTGGGTACACGGCCGTGGCGTGAAAGAATGGGTCTGTCAGGGTTTAATGCCTCTTATTCTTTATGGACCCTAACATGCTAGCCTACTAGGGCGGCCACCCATCCGATCAAGGGGCGGGTTGTCATTTGGAAAAAAAAAGCAGGCAGGGCTTGCTAGGCCATGGACGAGCGGGCCACTAGGGACACAACTCTTCATATAGAAGAGGTGCTTCTATTAAACTTGAAGCAGGATCTAGTCGAATTTAAAACATGTCAGACTCATATCCCCCAGACGTAGGGATCGAAGTCACTTTGTTAATTGGGTAGCTTTTTTTGGGTTGACCACGTTGTGGGATCAAAGCATTCATGGCGCAGTCAATTTCAACTGCGCGATCGTCAAATCGGGCAGTCACAATTGGTCGCACTTGTAAGAGCATGGCGCCTACTTGAGTCTGACACAAATAACTCGAGGTAAGACTTTTTTTTTTTTTCCCTTTTCTTGAGAGTTTGTAGGGACTTGAACTAGGGGCTGTATTGCAACAGCTCGTGGGCGTTCTCAGATAATCATAAAGGTGTGTGGAAAGCTTGGGTGACCTTATTTGAAGAATGTGAGATGTGAGAACACGTTCTTAGTTTTTCCCGATAAAATCTTTCTTGAGAATTTAGCTTTGGCTCCATGACGATGAGGGGTTTTCCGGTTTCGTGGGGTTTTTTTCAGAGTGGGGATTTTTAAACGCCCTCATGGTTTCCTCAAAAGAGCAGAATCAAATCCTATATTTTTTATGATCTGTATTTTCAGGTTTTTCAACCATATTCCTTCGGGGGTCGGTCAGGCTACTGATCACCGTTCGGCTTTCTGAGAGTCCGTTGGTAAGTCCTCTCCATATTAGAAGAGCGTCCCAACAGTTGCTTTTTTTATTCCTTTAATGGACTGGTGGGAGTTTCCTGTGATTAGTAGTTTGTACACACTTGGTGCGGTACTTCAACGGGAGTGTATATGCCCCTAATGGAACAACGAGGAGGTGATCACTGACAGGGCTTCTGCCTTCTTCACCGATCTGTTCTCTTCATGTCTTGTGTCAGGCTACGGGCTCCGAGAAGCGACAACCGTCTACCACAAGGGCCGATTTATATGATATTTCATTTCTACCTTCCGGATTGAACGATGACTCGATAGTCGTCAAATATTTTTTGTGCCTCGTAATGATACCTAAACTGATTTTTCTCCTCGCCTAATCATGAAATGTCCTTGAAGCTTTTTCCCGCCCATTCTTCTTTCCTTCCTTTCTACTTTCCTCCATGAATTTTCTCCCCTCCGTATACTCCTCTCCTTTTTTTTCCTCTCTTCTTCCTATGTCCTTTTTCCTCAAACACACACCGTCTCACGCCGATCTACCTTCACACCTCTAAGTTATTGGTTTTTTTAGTTGTTTGAAAAGAAAAAGAAAAAAAAACTTCATGAGCAACTTCGTGCTACAATATTTAAAGAAGTAGGTTGTCCATTTGGGTACGCAGTCATTCGTCCCCTTATGATTTCACCATTGGAGGGCAAATGAAACAGTTGATGGGAGTTCGTCAAAATGACGTCCTCTACTTGTACACGACTTTATTATAATAGAGTCTCATTTTTCGTGCGCGTATATTTTTCCATGAACTTTTGTATGTTTTCTTTCAGTCTCAATCTCTATCTATCATCCATAGTTTTCTTTCTCTTTCCTATGAGTATGTTTCTGCACTCGTCCTTTTCGTCCATTGTAACCTCGCCTATTGGCTATACGCTTGATTGTGTTCCCTTAAAGTTAAACGTCTATACCAACGTATGATAATGATAGGTTGGTGTAGACGTTTAACTTAGAGTTCCTGACTATATTTGACTTTTTTTTGTCGTTTACTATCTTCATATAATAATGGTATCTTCACATAATAATGGTATATCAGTATCTTTCGAGATGGTTGAAGGAGGGCCGTATTCCAGCT